AAGCAACACGAGAGGTATTGGCGATGGATCTTTTAAGGGGGTTCACCCATGCGATGGCCTGTTTTTAAGCAATTTTAGAGAATTGTTTTTGATGACCAAAAAAAAAAGATAAAATTTTAACCCGTTCAGGACCATGATTACATATATGGGATCACGCGTTTCTCCCTCCACGGCATCATATATGTGATTGAGCTTTCCCTGTTCGTAGGCCCATGATCACACCCGTGTGATCAGTGTTAGGAACGTTTTTATACTATTTTTTACAAGAACTAGATGGCGATTAAAAGCCGTTTTTTTTTTCTTTCGAATCCTGTTTCACAAAACTTTGAACTTCAAAATGTGGTTTCGGCTCCGTGTTTTTTTTCTTTTTTTTTTAAATCAGATCCGAGATATTTGAATACAAACAACTGCACACGTTTAGACTTTTCGAGAGAATCGGACATTTAAAGGTTCGTGATCAATTGTTCTATGGATTTCTGTTTATATTTTGAATAAGTTGGTTTAGTTTTCTGATTTTTTTCTATATCCGTATGCAAATATGTGGGATTTTTTCGTCAATTTTTTTTGAAAGTGTATGTAATTTGTTTTTATTAAAAGGAAAACATTTTCTTAAAAATTCACAATTGTTTTTTGAAATATAGGGAACATTTTTGTACTCTATACTCAGATATTATCAATGATAGTAAATTGCAAGTTTTAGAGCATTTGATTCCATTTAAAACTGCATATGAATTTTTAAAGGAAATTAAGCTTAGCAGGGAAATTCGACCGGTCCCGTGCGTACGTATCCTCTCAGAGCGTACGGGCATGGGGATACGCTTATTTCTCCTTCCGCTGGTCTTGAAGGAGTTAAGTTACGTATCATTTATTTAAATGTATGTATATAGATGTTTAGCCAAAAATATCCAACAGAACGTGAATTATAGCGCTCTGAACACACCTACCTAAAAAAATGGAAATTCACGTCCTCCACGGTTCCAGCTGATTTGCTTACCTGTAATAAAAAAAAATTATAGCGTTTTAATCTATAAGCTTAAAATATCCATCTACGTTTGGAACTATGATTTTACAAAAGCGTATAAATGGATAATATTTATGGTATTTAGTGTCACTTAGATTAGGCCTATTTTTAAAATATTCTCCTTTTATGAAAAATTCTTCTGTAATAATAATATTTTGTTTGTATATAGCTCTGACCTCTGTACAGAGCCTGAACTAGTATTTTTGAAATATATAACTTAGAAGTGGATTTATCCATATTTTAATACAAAAGAGGGGAGAAATTTTAAGAATAAAATACCAGTTATTATTTCAAATGGTAGTAACTCTAAAAGTAATGTGAATTTTTCAAAAATCCTTGTTCATGCCCTTTGGAGAAGTCTTTACTTTGTATAAGCAAAATATTTTATCATTATAGATGCATTTTTATAAAAGGAGAACGTTTTGAAAAAAGGTTTTTCTAAGTTCATTTTTCTGCCAAAATGTTGGATTCAAATAAAATTTTTTTGTCATAATTTCCTTAAAACAATTTTATACATGTATTCTAGTCTAAGTGACACTAAATATCAGGAAAATTATCCATTTATGCGCTGTTTTAAAATCCTGGTTCCGAACAAATATATGTGTTATAAATTTGAAGTCATTCGGTCAAATCGTTCTTGAAATATGACGGAGAAAAGTTTGCAAAACACAGTTTTGAGAAAAATGAGTTTTATATATAAGTATCAAGTCCGATTAAAACAATGAAAATCTTATCTTACCCTCAATCGGCGATGCCTAAAACAAGTTCGACGAAATATTCAATAACTATAGATATTTCCTTTTAAACCTCTACAAACTTGTCTATACTTGTATAAACGTATATTTGCATAGAAGGGTTAATGGCATCAAGCCGACTGTACACAATAGGCCCAGCCTTCAATTGCCAACTCAGTGCTCCGAACAGCTGCTTTTCTACTCCCCCCTCGATAGGCCCTCAATTTTTTATTTTTCACCATAGCGATTACCCCTCTGTACTTTCGTTATACGCCATAGCCAGTAGGCTCCCGCGGCCTTCTTGATAGAACCGAAGAAAAGACAACTGAACTCTTTCACATTCTCAAATTCAAGCGAGTTACCCTGTTATGATATCAGAAATTTTGAGACAATCATGCATTCTTTCAGGCAGCCCCTTCTTTAGTGATGTCTGCAATCAGTTAAAGCTTTTCGAAATTTTGACGATTTTTCAGCTGAAGTACAAGTACAGAATACTTAATTCGCCTTTCTCATACAAAACAAGTTATAATGTTTTATTCTAAGCAAGTATTCTACACTCAAAGTGATCGACAGTCACGAGCAAAATGCAAGAGATAAACAAAACACTCAAGTCAGTGCAACACATGACAGAACTGCAGAAAATTTTTAAAAAGAACAAAACCAAATCCCCTCCCCATCCAGTTTTCTCAGAAGCCGAGCCAGCACATGCACACGACAACAACAATCTTTCCCGCCCCGCCACCCAAGGCAACAACTGTGCCGGGGCCTAACATTTTTAATGAGGATAACTTACAAAATCTTTTGTAAGTCTTAACACGATTTTCCCGTGAAACGAAGCTGACGACAGTTCAACCAAATTTCACCAAAAGCTAAGGAAACTAAACTGGTTCGCCCGGAGAGACAAGAGGGTGGGTAGATACAGGGGAGGGATGGAAGAACACTCGGCAGCATCGTAATGAGAACGGTGCTCGTTTTGGGGATACGCCTCCGTTCCTGCTCGCTGCGCTCTCCCACCCTGCCTCTCTCATTCATTATGCATATCCCATATCCCCGCATAAGTGGAATGAAGGACGTTTCGCCAAAGAGAATGTAAAGAGTGTGGGGGTGGAGGGGTGGTAAGCCCGGGGCAACATTTTGTGTGCACCGCATTTGATTGCGTGTTATATACGCCCTTATTAGCGGTAAAGACCTCTGACGGAGAAATTCCAGGGGCGCAGGATTAAGCCCTAGAATTGAAATATTCCATTGCTGTTTCCTGAGAAAGCTAGGGCGGCCTTTTCCTCTTTTAACAGAGAAGTGCTTTGGGGCTTCCGTGAAGAGAGAAGGGGGTTGTAATATTTTGATAGGGAGTTGAGAGTTTATAAAGCGTATATTCAATCTGAATCATAAATAGGACTGTCTCGCCACAGATATGTATAAGCTTAACGAGTTATTTGGGTTTATTTGTTGGGAAATAATTAGAAAGCCCTGTGTTAAGGCTTATTATAAAGTAATAGGGATATGTATTAATTAAGAGCTTCATAGAAATCAAACAAGTATGGCACACTGATACGCTTTGTGAATGTGTCTCCCACTCGTTTTATTTGTATGGAGATTTCTGTCAAATTCCTTCCAGGCATATTAGAAGTCAATTACATTTCGTCTTATGAGTATGACAAAGTTTGGAAAATGCCATTCACTTATTTCTGTAGGAAAATTTTCGTTTTCTGGGACGTAGCAAGTACAAAAGTTCTGTCAAAGTCTTGGAGATTCAAAAGTTCCATTTTGAGGAGAATGATAAGAACAGATGAGAGGAAACTCTAAAACTTTCAGAACATATTTCCATGCGTAAATAAACATTTACGTTGAATCATTCAATCAATTAACATCAATTTATCGTGCATTATCTGTAAATGTTCTCTCTATATATAAAGTTTGTGGGACCCCCCCTCCGGGTTCCACCCCGGACATCAAGATTGAATTGAGGCAAAGAATTACCAGACGACATTTTTACAATAACAAATAATATTTATTCACTTGAATCAATTATCAACTTTCTAAATACTAAATCAATATGTGTACATCAATGGGATTGAACTTTACTATTAAATTAAATCACGAAATATGATACTAATCAACTATTAAACTCAATATCGAACGGGTTTACCGGAATAAGAGGACCGAGAGATACACGCAATTTGAATTACTAGCAATCATTAACTTTCCACTAACTCTATTATTTATTTACTCTTATTATCCAATAAATGAAGTTTAAATATCACCTGACTTTTACTACTTCACTCCTTTCCAGTCGGCTCAACTTTCCAAATGTAGATCGCTGCCTGATAATCAGCTAGAAACTAATCACACAATCAACTTGAATCTTCTTAGCGCTCCGTCTATGTATCTCTTCGCTCAATAGCCTTCTCCGCTAACCCTACAACACTCTCCTTATATACTTTGATTCATTTGCATATCCCATTTTCTCCTTTTAGAGCTGGTTGGAAATATACGCGAATTTACAATCCCCAAAGACGCCCAAGAGTATTAGTGATAAAGTTCCGTATAGATTCGTCACAAGTTTACTACATTATTATATTCCTCCACCATCTGATTTCCACCTCATTGTCAACTGTCTTTTCTGCATCTACAAATAGAAAAATCGACGGTTAAATGTCTAACCAATTTTCTGTGATTGACAAGGTTCATAGACAATAACCCTGTTTCAAAGTTGCTACATTATTCCGGTAAATTACAAACAGAACTACCCCAAAGGTGTATTTGCTGTTTATATTAAATTTAAAAGAAACTTTCTGTTGTGTTGTTAATTATTTCCTTCTGACGAGTACTCAGTAGAATGGCCTCCGAGTAAAACAATATAATTAAATTAAAATACGAACATTTATCTATATCTATAAAGGTGAAGGTAAAACAACCACAATATCGGTGAAAAATGATGTTCTGAAAGCATTAATAACAAATAATATTTTTAAAAAATAATTCAATTCCTACTTAAATCAATAAAGAAAAATTTTATTTCAGTTACTTTATATTAAATAGTTACAATTAATATAAATGCGTCTAGACATATGAGAGAATCACAATATTAAGAGGCAAAATGGAAACCGATTTTCCTAGCAATTTTCTTTTCTATATATGGTGTTGGGCTATTATTTTTGTTTTTTACTATTTATTCAGTGATTAAATTTGATTATTCTAATAAAATAGTATAGTAAAAAAAGAAATCCCATTCTCAAAAATTAGGTCGTCCCAGGTGGAATTCGAACCCACGACGTTTGGATTAGAAGACCAATGCGCTACCCATTGCGCTACAGGGACACAACGAGTAATTTTCGTTTTTATAATGGCGTTAAAGTACTATTTTTGTTACTGTTCATTCATTAACTAAATCTAATTATTGAATTAATATTTGAAAAAACTATATTGTATATAACATCAAGTGTCACATTCACTACAAGTTCTGAAAAATGTATTCGAACTTGAATGGATGAATAGAAAGTATTTTATTAACGACTGAAAGTTTGGACAAGATAAATATACCGTAAAATCCGGCGCATAACGCGCACCTGTACTTTAGAGCTGCATTTCTTAATTTTTAGGTATATTCGCTGTATAACACGCACCCCTTTTTTTCAAAAAATCTGAAATGTTGGTATACAGTGCTCCTATGTTTTGAAGTCATTTATACGAGGTATTGTCCCAGACTTTTTGAAAAAATAGTATACTTCTAGAACTAAAACTCTTTTAGTTCATTAAGCATGCAATTGCTTAAAAAAAATCGATATGTATAGAAGTAATTTGTTTATGCTCATCTCTTGTTATTTTTAAAGCTGTCATTTCTATACCCGGCGTATAATGCGCATCCTTAAATTTCAATGTTGTTTTTTGTGTTAAAAGTGCGCGTTATACGCCGGTTTTTACGGTATATATAATATATATATATATATAATATATATATATATATATATATATATATATATATATATATATATATATATATAGGGAGAGAGAGAACTAATAGTAGGAATTTTAAAAAATCCATCTGTATCTCTTACACAGCCAGTAAAATGCATGAAAAACTGAAAATTATACGCCTATCACTTGTTAAATGGCATGAGCCAAAATTTCTCTAAGGCAATATCCGGCCACATACGTCGTTCAAAACAATTGCGACATTAAATGAATTAAAATATGAAATTTTTCAGCACCCAGATTATTTCACGGATCTTTTGCCAACCAACACTCGTTTTTTTAAACATTTGGAATAGTTTTTACTGGTTAAAACCAGGATATATACTCAACTTGCGGGCTGCATGTGGCCCACCGGACCTTTCTGAGTGGTCCTGTTATGGTCCGTTGCACTAACATATTAAAGTATTTAAGAACAATGTATTAAAAATTTAGTGAGATATTCTCTCAATCACACGTGTATCAATTTTACTATCGATGTCCTGCTAGTACGAATTACGAGATAGCTTCTTTTCCTTTTGGTAACTGTGCATTTTAGTGATACCAAATAACAGAGCAGTAGGGACCATTACATGGGTGAATCTATTTTTTTTTATTAACCCTCATGCCTTCCAAGTAAAAAATATCAAAAGAATATATGTTGTTTCAAAAGGATTGAGATCTTGAATATTTTGTAGAGAAAAACAATCATGGGGATCAGCAACTTGTTTGATTTGTTGCTATATTTAAAAAATATAATTTTGCTCGTTACTATACCACTAAGCACAAATCTTTCAATGGCTCTTTTTCGTGAGAATTTCTTTCAAGACGAGATAAATTGACTTTTTTAAAAAAAATCTTTGCAACTGCAACAAAATATTTGAGGGAAGAGTGGGGCTTGGGGTCATTTATGGAAGGAAATCGAAATTACCCATAAATGGGTAAAAAACACATAAAACCAATTTTTTTGTGATTTGAATTTGATACAGTTTAATATAGTTTTAAACAAAATCTAAAACTGAGTTTTAATATTTTGACTAATTTTTCTCGAATTTTAAATGTCCTTGATCTTATAGCGTACCCTAAACCCGTTAATCCTCATTTTGCGGCCTGCGTGAAATAGTTATCACATGGATGTGGCCCCATCGGGAAAAAAGGTTGAGTACCCCAATATAAAAATGAAGATAGTCTGAAAAATTCCACATCGTAGCTTATTGATCCTAAAGAATAAAATTTCCTTAAAACATGCATCTATGCATTAAAATCTCACTGTGAAAGATGTATATTCCCTTAAAAATCCGACTTTCACACTTACCAACCTAATATAGAGAAAATCAAATATTTGTCTTATAAGTAATACTTCTTTCGAAGGCTCTTTGAAAAATTTCTTTTACCTTCCTTTAAACATTTCCAACGTTAAGAATACAGAACAGTTCATCGCAAAGTTTCAATATGTGTGAGCCAATATTTAATCATAATTTTCATCACCCCCCTTCCCATACAATAAGAATCTATTTAATCTAAAAAAAAATCTACTTGGACGCTAAAGCTACAATGCGACTTTAACCTCTCAAATGCCACCGGTGTATATAACCGTTTTGCTCAGCCAAAGCGTAAATTTCCCCTGACGTATATACACGTCTTTCCGAAGTATGATTTTTTCTGTGCAATGCAAAATCCATAAAATTATTCAGAAGGCTTTGGGAGTGCAATAAAAAGACCTTGACAGTGTTTATGAAAGATTAACTCATTTCAGAGGATTTGCTTATTTATTCCTTTTCTTCCTCCCCCCCAATACGTCACACACGCGCGCCAACGTGGAAAACGGTGGCATTGGGGAGGGAATCGCATCTTTTAATCGGCAGTTAAGGGATTAGTTATAAACCGTACGAATAATTAAGGTAAGTGTTCATTTTTGTTATTTTATATATGACAAACCCATTAATTATGAATGCTGTTCTTGACATAGTATTGTTATATTGATTTTTAGATTGGAGTAATTTTTAGCAAACTTTATCTTTCTTTCGAACTATTTTCTTAAGAAAAAAAAATGTTCTTTAAAATATATTTTTGATAACGTTGACTTATCGGAAAATATCACAACACGTTAAGGATTATCTTTATAATTGTCTTACGTTTATAATAGCATTCGATTGAAAAATTCTGAATTCTCTTTTCTCGCATTGTTTCCAAAAGGTTTTCATTTCAGTTCTTGAAGTAAAAATAAAAGTCCAGATACTTTGCTTTGAACTTATAATTGAATCGATTTATAAGCCTATCGTTTGAACTTTACAGTATTTTAAAATTTATATCCCTTTTAACATGCTCTTATTTCTTGTAAATAAATAAGAAAGACGAGTGATTTTACTTTTCGAATTTCTTTGTAGCAAATCTTGCACTTTTCAAATGTCGACCGAGGGTAAAAAAAATACTACATACCTGTATCTTATTAATAATTAAAGCGTGCTATCGGCTCCTTTTGAACCACTTTGCTGAAGATTACAACTAGCGTTTTGCAATGAAAAGATCAGAGTGTAAAGCTTTTGAAGGCGAAGAAAAATCTTGTAAAAATGTGTTTTCGGGGTTTTAATCCTCTTTCACTGAGATTCTTTCTTAGTGAGTCATTGTATACTCGGGCGATGTTTACTGTTTGGAATTCAATGACTCTTAGTTTAAAATCAATGCGCATTTATTAATGCATATTTGTATTAAAAAACGAATATCCTTTTTTTCGGTTAATTCTAATTTTTTTTTAAATTATAAAGTCAAACTTCGATATAGGCTTAAGTATAAATGATAAAGACTAAAAGAAAAGGAAAATAAACACATTAAAGATCAATGATTACTTCTTTTTGTGAAAACTACACCTTTTGTTACAACTTGAATAAAGACTTTTTAGTTCAACATATACGAATTTGTGCAGTAATCTTTTTAAGAACGAATGAAGTGAATCTGTTAACCTTAATCCGAACTGACAATATCCTAGTAATGTGATCTTGCTCGTTTAAAATGTGTATGTGAGTTTTCAAACCTTTAGTCTCAATCTAGAGTTTTACTCTTTACTTTTAGCAAATATTATTATGAATAGTAAATATTATATTTTTTATATTTTATTTTATATTATATTTATTTTTTATATTATATTTTTTAGCAAATATTATATTGAAATCTAATAGCTCGTTTAGTATATATATATAATATATTTTCTTTGGAATTTTTCTTTTTCGGTGAAAGGGGGTTGGGTGGGTAAGGGAGTATAGAATGAGGTGTTAACAAATATTCAAATCAAACTCCAAACTCTTTTTATTTAACTCCAAAGACTATCGTATGGAAGATATATTTAGATCTTCTGCCTTTAAAAATAACTTAACCTCATCCTAGTGTGTCAGTGTTTATTAAAATCTATACTATACGTTTATTACTTACTATAAAGCAATAAGAGGGCTATGGGCTCATAATTTTGAACCATGGTCAAATGACGAGGACAACAACCCAATGAATTATTGTGGTGAATTGGCTCTTAAGACTAAGTATTGGGTTTAAAGAAGACTTATAGGTACTTACATATTAAACCATCAACCAAGTTCTCCAAATCAAAAGATATTGCCAAATGCAGCAACATACAGACAATAGTGTAAAATCCTTCCCGGGCGTGTTCCAAAATAAGAATAATGATAATAACATTTGGCAATATTGATTGATAGTAGAATGCATTACAACCTTATTCATTATTGGGCTAATGATTTTTTGTGATGTAATGTCAACGGTTGGTTGATTTTAGACCGAAAGCAACTATGAGTGAGTGAATATTAACCGTTCAGCTACTCGAGGGCTTTTGGCGACGGACCTAGTAATTTTGAACCTTGGTCAAGTGACGAGGACGATACGTGAGTTGGCTCCCTTCTCTCCTAACTACCGAATCACATCAACGAGAGAACGTTGGAGCTCTCGACGAATTTAACGGCATCGCTCCCCTAGCCGGCGGGTCTTTAACGGTACAGGCTGGAACTCATGACAAGCCAACCATGAATCCGTTATCTTGACCATTAGGCTACCGCGGCTACCAGAAACAACTATAGATTGATACTAATGCCAATGTTTGCATTGGCGATAATTCAGAAAAGAGCAGCCAGGTCATGATTATTTTAACCTATAAGAGTATCATTCTGACTCCTAGTTAGGAGTTCATCATACAAAAACACCATATTAGGGAATCAGGGCTCAAATCCCTCGAAAACTACATTAACCCCGAAACTCATAACTTTGGTCTCTAAAACCCCTTACATATCCATTGAATAAGCTTTGCTTTTATTAAACTGTGTTATAATTGCCAATACACTTATTTATTCATAGAAAAAACAATCTAAAAA